GCATTGCTGGCGCCAAAGACCCCGCCACCGACCCCATCCCAGCTGCCAGGCCCTGAGGCCCACTGGTAGGATGGCGTTTATAGATATACACGTGCACAGGACGGCGCATGGAGTGAGAGAGAGAGGAGAGAGAGACGGAGATGCATCAGAAAATCTCTGGAAGGGCAGGGCTGAGAGAACTCAGTTCCCACAAGAAACGCTCATACGTAGCTGTGAATGGCCTCGTCCAATTGCCCTTGGGTTGTGTGACCTTGGAGCCAGCCTGCGAAGGAAAAGGGAAGAGGGAAAGGGAAGAATAGCTCATCCCCCTATCACTGCCGACGCCCCTGCTGGGATGCGGCGGAGGCCCCTCTGCTCGGAGGACTCGGCCCCGCGAGGCCCGGGCCCGGCGGCCAGCCCCCAGCTCCGTGGACACGGCGCGCTTCCTGCCTTTGGGAGCCACGGCACGGCGGCCGGGCGCGTGCACACGGCACACAGCTTGGCCAGGAGACTGAGGCTTTTCACACCTCCCCCCGGGCTCGCTGGGCCGTAAGAGGTCATAGTCGCCTTGTCACTCGTGTCTGACCCGAACAAGGCGTGGCTCGCGAGGCTGCCACCTGACCGTAATGTGCCAGGCCGGTGGCGATAGCACACGTGCCCTTCGCACCAGTGGTAACTGTTTCCTTTTACATGGAAAAAATGTGCAGGCACAGAGCAAACACCCCTCCGTCTCTCACGCGCCTCAGCATCGTGCACATGGTGTCTCATTTAATTCTCAGGACCCCCCCGAGGGACGAGGAGAGAAATGTTATCATCACCATTTCACAAGTGGCCAAACTGGGGCTCGGAGACTCACTCACACAGCCAGCCAGGCTCAGGGCAAAGGTCAGAGCCGGCCGTCTGGCTCCCTGTCCATGCGTTTCCCAACGTGAACCTGCACGTGTCCGGGATAGGACCCGAGTGTCCGCCTGCAACGGCACACTCCCCCCCCGGGACGCCGCCCCCGCCCCTGGTGGCCTTGGGGCTCCCGCCTGCCATGAGCGGAGTGGCTGGACCCCCCCCCCCCGGCGGTGGCCCTGGTTCCAGACGGCCGCACAGCCCCGGCCGCCCCGGCCGCCCCGCCCGGCGGCCCAGCCTGACTCCCCCGGGCAGCCCTTGCTGCCAACCCCGCCGAGAAGGAGCAGGGGGCACCGTGGAGGGAGGGAAGGCGACCCCTCCCATCGCCGGAGCTGCACCTGAAGGCGCCCCGTCTGGGCCCCCTTCACCCTCTGTCGCTGTTCACGCTGGGTCCCCTCGACTTGCGCCCAGCAAACAATGGGGTCCAGGGGCGGGGTGTTCTTACGACCGACCTTACACATGGAACCGGCCGAGGGGCCGAGGGGCCGTGACACCTGAAAGGGTCACCCAGGGCTTCAGCCTGTGGCCGTGCAGTGGCGCCCGGGTGGCGTGACCGCAGGACAGGGGGCGTGGGGGAACTCGGGGGGTCAGGCGTCGCAGGAAAGACACGCGCGTCCTCCGCAGGCGGCCGCCTCTGAGGGCAGCGGCGGGAGGACCCAGGGCTCGGGGAGGAGAAGGCCTTCCGCCCGAAGGCGCGCCATCCAGGTTGGGGACGCTCTGGCTCCCCGCGCGCATGGGTCCTGTCAGACGTGAGGGCTCAGGACCCCAGGGGGCGGTAACGGTGTGCGGATCTGGAGCGGCGTGGACGGCCTTTGTTGACGCAGACCTGACCCGCACCACGGCCTGCGCTCACCCACGGGGACCCTCACAGCGGCCCGTCTCCCCCGGCAACGCAGACGCACCGTCTGTTCCCCGACCAGTCGAGCCTCTGCAGGGGTCGCTCTGGCGGCCGCCGGACGGTGCCCGAGGCTCCAGCCCAGACGCGCAGGCACGGACGCAGCCCGGTTCCCTCTGCTCCCAGCAACGAGCAGCAGGTGCTTTGAGAGGTGACGCAGGTCAAAGCCGGGAAGACGCCACGTCAGCGGAAACTGCCGCGGCCACCTCTCCTGCGCAGGGCAGCCAGGAGCTCAAACACAGGGTCGTTTCCTCACAGCCGCGGAGGCGGGGCCCACAAAACCCTCCAGGACAGCAGCCGCGTTCCCCGGAGGCCGAGGGCCTTGCAAAGTGTCCCGAGCCCTGGACCCTGTCTCCGGAACGGGTGGCAGTGCAGCCCCAGGACGACGAAGCACCCGGGCCAAGGGGAGGCCCGGGACTAGGCGGCTGGACAGGTAGGCCGGAGGGCCCCGGTCCTGGGGTTCACGAGTGCTTCTCCCCGGTCGCCGGGCAGCAGAGCCAGGCCACGCGCTAGGGACGGGGGGCTCTGACACCCAGGTGCCCCCAGCACCGGGGACCCACACGGGCGCCCGTTTCTCTGTTCTTGGACCCCGCGCCCAAGCGGCAGAGGCTTTGGCCCCACACGACTGGGGTGCCCCCGGTGCCATGAGCACCAAAGAAGGCAAAGGGGGGCGGCGTTAGGCAGCTGCAGGCCCTGCGGAGCACCCCCACAACTGGGCGTGGGGGCGGGGCCCTCCGCAGAGCGTGCGCGGTGCAGGCGCCTCGGTCACCAGGACCAGCAGCTCTGGGGCCGAACGGTGGGAGACGGGCTCCCTCAGCCGGGGTTGCTCAGGCGGACGCCCTCCCTGCCCCGCCCCAGGGCCACGGTTCCCGCGTGCGGCACCCAAGCGCTACCCACCCCGCAGCCGGTGGCCGGGGACCCCGTCGCTCCGTCTCCCTGCCTGCCTGCGGCTCACCCCGCGGTCTCGGTGCCGCCAGCCATCCGCCGCCAGCGCGGCGCTTCCCTTTCTCTGCGGCCCCTCCCGGTCGGTCGTCCCCACGACCCTGTGCCCGTGGCGGGGTGGGCCCTGCCTCCCGCCCCGCTGCCAGCCTGCCGGCCACCGAATCCCGGCCCCAGCCCTTGGGACCAGCAGGGTGGACACTCAGCCAGGGCTGCTGTGCCAGGGCGCCACCCCCGGGGGCTCCCAACGCAGCAGGGAGCCCCTGGGAAGGACACCGACCTGAGCTCGGCCCCCACAGCCCTGTGGGGTTCGGGGACGGCACGGACCGGCGTCGGCAGGAGCGGCACGCGCGACCGCCGTGGTCGCCATCCCCTCCCGCGTGCTCTCTGCGCTCGGTCTCCCCCGTTATTCCAACCTGCAGAGCTAGGGACCCCCACCCCCAAGCTGCCGGGGCTCAGACCCACGCGCTGCAGGCCGCCTCGCGGCTCAGGCAAGGACAGCCGGCTCGGGGACGGCCTGACCCTGCGTGTCCCTCACCTCCTCTCTGTCTCTCCTGCCGCGGCACTGCGCCCCGGAAGCCCCGCAGTCCTCGGCACCCCACGCCCCTGAGCTTGCTCGGCAGCCCCCGCCTGCCCTGCCCCACCCGGCTGTGCACCCCAAGGATCGCATCGGGGGCCCTCGGGTCTCCTCCGGCCTCACGCAGGCTCCCCGCCTGCCCTCTGGGGTTCTGGGGCGCCCGCGCAGGCACACTGGGCGCCGGCCTGGCCGTGCAGCCGGGGCCTGCGAACAGGCGCTCCCACCGGGGGGCGGGGGCACCGGGGGGGCCAGCGCCGGCAGCAGCGGCAACCAGGGCGGCCTCCGAGGCCGGGGCCGGAGCCGCTGGGGCTAAGGCAGAGCAGGGGCCTCGGGTGTCTGGGGAGGGAGGGGACAGGTCTGAGCCCAGGTCCCTGGCACGGGACACCCACCGCTTCCCTCTCGCCCATGCCCACAGCCTGGAGCAAGAAACCCGAAGCCACGTGGCATCGCACACTCTCTCCCGCGTCTCCGGGTGTGCGTGCGGGCCCTCCCGCGCCTGGCGGCCAGCGCCTTCCGGCTCACGGCCCCGCCCCTCCAGCCCCTGCCTCTGTCCTCTCCTGGCTTCGCCTCTGCCCGTGGCCCCCTCTCCGCGGGAGGGAGCCCCGCGCGTGGGTGAGGGCCCACCCTGGCGCCCGCTCCTCTCGCCCGTCTTTCCTGAGAGGGGATGGAATTGAATGTTTACATCGTTGGGACTCACTGCTCTTAGACTCGCCCGCGTTGCGCGTGGCTGATGGATCCCGACTCGGAGGGTGCCTGGCGAGCACACAGGAAGTGGCCTTCGCCGTCCCCATACGCCTGGCCTGGGGGACAGGCTCACAGGTCTTGCCCAGCACCAGGCCACCCCGCACCCGACGGACGCCCAGCAGACACTCCTGGGTAGTGTCAGGTCGGGTCCCTTGACCTGGCCCCTAAGTCAGCAGGTGCCCTAGTGTCTCAGTGGGGGGTCTCACCCACCACCTCCCACTTTTTACCCCCAGGAGGAGGAGGCTGAGACCCAGGGAAAGGTCTCTGACTCCTCGAAGTCTGTGTGCCCATCCAAACCGCGGGCTTCCTTCGGACCACAAGGACGAGGGGCTCCACGCCACCGGCTGCCCTGGGGCGGCGTCCCTGCTCTGGGAACTTCCTGATCTGCCTCCTGGAGCGTCACCCCCGCCCCAGAGGCGGCCCCAGCTCTCCAGCCCAGCACCTGTGCCCTGTCGGTGGTCTGGGGTCCCCGCAGAGCTGATCTCCACGTGGTCCCAAGGGCCAGCCCCTGCAACCCCAGAGCCTGAGCCCAGAGGACTCGGCACTGAACCTGCCGGGCGGTGGATTCGGGCCAGCCGCCTGCGCCCAGGTTCCTGGTCGCTTTGAGGGGAGGTGCCGGGTGAGGACAGGCATCTCGGGCACTTTCCGAGGCTGAGGAGTCGCAGGTCAGCACGGCTGCCCTCCGGCCCCGCCCTCCCGGCCGAACTGCGCGGGGTCCCCGCGTGTCCCGGGCTGCACGTGGCGAGGCCGCTCCGAGGCCGTTCACTGGGTCCTCCCGGCCCCCGCTACACCGGCGGGGCGGCGGGTGGGGCTCGGCGGTGTTTACCTGGAGCAGGAAGCCCGGAGGGGGCGGGGACGGGCGGGGTGTGCGCGGGCCTCGGAGCCGCGCCGTCAGTCACCGCTGCGCGCCAGTGAGGACGAGCCTCCCGCCCGGCGATCCGCGTCCCCGACCCGGAAGGCGGCGCCAAGGCCCCGGGGACCCCGCGCGTGGGGCCCGGGCGGCGGGGAGGCTGCCTGGACCCCGCGCAGCCCCCGGCCTGGGAGCGGCGAGCGCAGCACGGTGGGTGACTCTCCTGGGGTGGCGGCGCTTTGTCTCCGTGCGCGGGGAGCGGGGGCCCGGAGCGGGCGCGCGGCTGCCTTCGCAACGGACTCGGCTCCCTCCCGGACTGGGTGCGGGGAACTGGGCGCAGCCCCGCAGGTGGCGGGGCAGGTGGGGGCAGGTGGCGGCCCCCCGGCCTCTGGCGCTCGATGGCGCGGGTGTAGACGCGCGTCTGGAATCGGCAGGTCCCCGGCCGGGCTCGGGCGGGGGTCGCTCGGGCGGGGGTCGCCCGGGCGCGCTTGACCCGGGGGTGGTGGTGGGGCGGAGTGCGCGGTGGTAGGTGACCAGGGCCGAAGTGGCCGCTCTGGGCTTGCAGAGACAACCCTGGCGACGAGCCGGCAGGACGGCTGGGGGTTCCTAGGAGCCTAAAGGACGCCCTAAGTCTTCACCTGGAGTGGAGCAGACCATCCTCTTCCCCGCACGGCGGGGAAGCCCGGCTTCCCTTTGGGCTGGTTCCGAGGCTGCGACAGCTAGGGACTGGGCTTCCGCCTTTGCTGGGCCGGTGGGGCTCGGCTGCGCTGCCACCTGCGCCCACGTGCGCCCGAGTGCGCCCACCTGCCTGCCTGCGCGCCGGGGCTGGCGCGGCCCCTCCTGGGCGGGAAGGCCCCCTGGACCGCCCGGCCTGGAGGGGCGGCGGAAAAGTGCGGCGAGCCTGCAGCCGGTCGCGGAGCCCAGGAGGCTCCAGGTCTGGGGGATGCAGGGGCGGGCAGCGCCCGGTGTCCGGTAGGGTCTCCTCCTTTTGCCCCGCGTGGGAAGGCGCGGAGGGGGGCGTTGTTAATAGGTGAGGTTTCTTTGGGGAGCTCGGCGGGCCGCCGGCAGGAAATGGGCGCGCGTCTGTTCCTGGTTCTCTGCTCGCAGTTGCGAGGCTGTGCGAGCCGACACCATGTGACCCCTCATCTCTGCGTGCGGAAGTCGCTGGCACAGCTGGGCGCGTGGGGGTGTCAGCGTGGGGGCCTGAGACACCCACGGAGGCTGCAAAGAGTGTTTCAGGGGAAGCGGACTGGGGCGGGGGGGGGGGGGGGCGGGGGGGCGGGGGGTGCTGACTTAAGGCCTGTGGTTTGGCAGAAGATTAGAGCTGCCAAGGCCCGGGAGGCATTTTGCAGATGTGTGGCCCCCACTGGGCTCAGCCCCACACCCCGCCCCGTGGGCCGCCTTTGAGTGGGTGGCCCCCGTGTGCAGAGCGGAGAGTGCTGGGCAGAGGCAGCCCTTCCCCAAGCGTGGGCCGCCCGCGCCAGGAGGAGGCCCCCCCGAGAGCTCCGGTCTCCACCCGCCCCGGGAAGCTGCCCATCACTAGCCCTGCCAGGCGGGTAAACAGACTCTCGGAGCGGGAGCTGCCCTGAGACGTTCTTGTGAAATGGCGACGCCCAGGCACCCCAAGGACTGAGCTGGTCTGAAATGACTTTTTTTTAACTCCAGGTTAGACAAAAGCCGTTCTGTTCCGATACACTTTGAAAGTCTTTCTCAAGTATCACCTTTCTGCCCAAAGATTAGAAAGTGTAAGGAAAGGTCCTGGTGCTGTGACCTGCGAGGAAGTGCCCCTCCGTGGTTTTGAGCGCAGGCCCTGCTGTTTGGTTTGGTCCGTGGGGACCGCGAGCCGAACGGCCTTTCTTGTAAACCGCCTGCCCCTGCCTGAACCGCCAGCTATTCGTGGAAGGCAGGCCGCACTTTCAGGGGTCATTTCTGTCATTCGCTGTCTGTTCATGGAAGGTTACTTTGCTTGCTTTTTACGTCCTCTCTAGACCCTTTAAAAATGTGGCACAGTGTCAGCGATGGCCTGGGTGCCTCTCCCCCCCGGGGTCCAGGTGGCGTGTACCGAGCACCGAGCATGGCCAGGCTCGGCCGCTGTGTTACCGGCCGTGCCTACCCGGGAGGCTCGGCTCTGCTACCAGTACCCGCCTAGACGCTTGTTTCTGCTGATAGGAGACCGCGGCTCAGAGACGCCCGGGGAACACGGCACTCAGTCCCAGGAGCCGGTCGCCAGCCCCCGGTGGCCGCCCTGCACGGCCCCAGGGAACAGGACACAATCCTGCCCCCCGACAGAGCCGCCTTCCTCTTCCCCTTATTAAAATTCCACCGTGACTGAGTTACCACTCCCGAAAATGTGCTTCCTCCTCAGAGAGATTTGGCTACCCTGGCACGGTCACGTGTCTGTGTGAGTCACCCTCGGCTTGCCTTCCTTAGTCGTCAATAAAAGAGAAAAGAAGGCGGTCTGACTTCTTAGTGTAACCTTTAACCAGTCGTCTGGAAGCGGTAAGACAGTTCTGCGGGTCCGTTAGAGCCACGGAGGAAGCGGCCACCGCTGCACGTGGGAGCACCGGGCTGGCTCGGGGGGCACCCTGGGGCCTGGGGGCGCAGCGGGGCCCCGAGCAGCGGGGCCGGGTCTCAGAGTCGCAGAGCCAGGGGACTCCCTGCAAGGAAGGGCCCGCAGGGGAGGCAGCCGACAGCCACGGCTCAGGTGACTGGCCGGAGGGGGCGGAGCCCCCGCTGAGCTTGGCGGCCTCCAGCCGCGCCTCCCTGGCGTTGCAGCCAGACACTAGCTGGCGCCCTGCAGCTGCTGGGAAGGCCTCAGACTCCGTCACTGTTAAGCACCCAACCCTGGGACCTGAATGCTGCTTTGCCCTGAACCCGGCGGCCACCGCTGCGCAGGTGTGAGGCCCTGCTCTGAAAACTAGATCCGCGGTCCGCGGGTGGGTGGGGTCTCTGGAATGTGTGAACAGTTCTAAAACTCGGTGACAGAAGACACGCCCCGCCGTAGGAAGCCGCGTGAGGGACGGGCTGGTCTGGGAGAGAGGCCCAGTGGCTGAGGAGACGGGAGGGGGTGTCCTGCCCACTCGTCATTGGGGAATTGAACGTGGCGGCGTCGGTGAGGTCGCTCTTCATACCCCTCCTCCCGGCAAACGGTGTGGAATTCTGACGCACACCATTGAGAGCAGGAGGGTGAAGCCGCTGGAGAACAATCTGGAAAAGTGGAGACGGCTGAGCGCCCCCCCCCCCCGGGCCTTCCCCGCCAAGGGCGCCCCGGAGGGAGGCGCGGTCCCTGCGCGAGAGGCGCAGGCACGGGACACACACGGGAGCCAACGGGAGATGTTTTCGGTTGAGGTCACTGTGGACGCGCATGCAGTTGCAGGGAGTGAGGCAGAGAGAGCCATGCGGCCTTCCGAGCGCCTTGCGGGATGCGGAGCAGCATCGCAGCCAGGAGTCGAGCCAGGAGTCGCCGCCGCCGCCGCCCACCGGCCCTCCCGCGGTGTCGGGTCGTGCGCACGCATGTCGTCCCGTGTGTGGTTCTGTGCCGGCTAACACCGTGTAGGGTCGTGTGGCCACGCCCAGTCCCGTAGGACAGTTTCATGACAGGGCCCTTCGTGCTGCCCTTGAAAGCCACAGCCAGCTGCCCACTTCCCTCTCCCTGGGCCCTTGGCACCGCCGACTGGTCCCCGTTTTCTGTCATTTCCTTGTTTTGAGAATGCGACACACGCAAATCCTGCAACCTGTAACTGTCTCAGGCTGGCGTTTCTCAGTGAGCGGGCTCCCCGTGCGTGTATCAAGAGCTCGTTTGTTGTCACTGCGGAGCTGTGTTCTGGGGTACAGAGGGACCCCCGCTGTCGCCGTGCACGAGGACATCATCGTTCAGAGTCCCTTACTGTCCCTTTCCCAACCTCGGGGTCTGCCCTGAGAGCCTCCCTTCCGTTCGCGGTCACGGTGACGTCTGTCTTCTCTCTGTGTTCTGCTACAGAATTATCAGTCCTATTGATTTTTTCCCCCCAAGAACTAGCTTTTTGTTTCATTGATTTTTCTGTTTTTTTCTTGTTTCCAATTTCATTGGTTTCTGTTGTTTTCTTCATTATTTCCTCCCTTCCAGTGTCTTTGGATTTAACTTCTCTTTTTTAGTTTCTCACCTTAGAACTTGGATGATCAATTTGAGACCTTTGTTCTGATGTAATCAGTCGGTGCTATAAATGACTTTCTCAGCCCTGCTATAGCGATGCCCACATATTTTAATAATAAAGATTAATAGTAAAGATTTTGATACTAAAAAAGAGAGAAAAGACAGAAGAGTAGGATTATAGGTATAGGAAGTCTGTCCAGGAGGTATCCAGCCATGTACCATGAAAAATAGACACATTGAGTGAAGAAGATACAAGAAACACTGTGCACAGGACGAGGACGCCTCAGTCCCCTTCCGAGGAGGCACCTGGGGGCCTCACACGGTTCTCCAGTCGCCATCAGCTGCCCCATCGTATTTTCCTCATCTCATTGACTGTCTGAAATCGCTTCCCTTTAAAGGTGATTTTAGTTTTGGGAAAAGCCAGAAGTCGCAGGGCACCCAATCTGGGCTGTAGCGGGGCTGAGTCACCTGGGTGATTGGATGTTTCACCCAAAAACTCTGATGCATGTGCAGGCGTGTTGTGATGGAGCTGCCAATCACCCGTGGCCCACAGCTGCGGCCTCTGAATCATCCGAATAGTTTCCATGGAGGGACGTTCAGGCTTCACGCAAACTCTGATGCAGTTCCTTGTTCCGCTCTCTCGGATGCTTCGAATGCGACAGCCACACAGTACGCCTGCTCACTCAACGGCATCTACCGCCCCCGCTGACTAGAGCAGTGACGTTGCCACTGTTCACACATGCACATTCCAGTGCGCTCCCCTTGGCTGCCAGGTGACAGCGATGTCACGCAGACAATTCTCGTTATGTTAACAATGGCTGGACTTTTTCTGGACAGACCTCATGTGTATTATGACGTGGTCTTCAGAAGTTACAGTAAATGATTTAGAACTTCAGGTATCGACAGAGGTCAAATTCCAAAAAAAAAAAAAAATGTTGAGTAGGAAAGAGTAAGTTGCAAAAGAACAAGTAAGGCGTGATTCATTTCTTGAACAAGTGCATGTGTAATAAATATAGAAACCCAGGAAGGCGGGGCAGGGCCCCGGGCTGGATTAGGATGTTCCCTCAGCCAGCGAGCG